AGGGGCTTCAGGGGCAGTTACAGATCCCGCCCCCCGTGGAGAGGGGCTTCAGGGGCAGTTACAGATCCCCCCCCGGCTTCAGGAGCAGTTACAAATCCCGCCCCCCAGGGGGAGGGGCTTCAGGGGCAGTTACAAATCCCGCCCCCCGCCTCTCTGATGCCCACCTCCGGCTGCAGGAGCCTCCTGCTGGACCAGAACCTCCCTCAGCTCCTGGACCTCCTGGGTGAGTCGCTCCACCAGAGGGAGGTCCGACGGGACCACCAGCTGCCTCTGCAGGTCCTGCAGGTCACAGAAACAGACTCAGAGACCACCATAAAGTCCAGCCCGGACCCCAAGCAGGGGAGTTCCTGCTGCGGCCATTTTGAGGGACAAGGAGTGAAACCAGAACACTGACCCGGATCAGGTCCTCCTTCAGGTTCAGAGTCCTGCTGAGCGAGTCCAGCTGGACCGCCTGACTCCTGCTCAGGTCCTGGTTCTCCTGCTCCCTCCTCAGGGCCAAACGCAGCTCCTCCTGCAGWACCTGCAGCTCTGGACCCGAGCCCTGCTGGGATCCAGAACCTGAGCCCAGCTGTCTGCGGAGCTCCTGGATCCTGGAGGTCCGCTCGGCCAGAACTTCTCCGAACTGGGCCGCCGAGTCCTGCAGGGAGACCGTGGACTCTTAGTCCCTGTGAAACTTACCTAACGGGTCGGGCTTCTGGTCCACTACTGTACCTGAAGGTACTGGTCCCTGCAGCTGATGGTTCTGAGCAGATCCTGGACCTGGTCCTGATGCTCCTGGGCCTGACGGGTCCGGTCGGCCAACACTTCCTGAAAGAGGCGGTCCTTAAGCTGGAGGCGGGCCTTCAGCTCCTCCAGAACCTGGCTGGGAACAGAGCGGACYGGAGCCAGCAGGGAGCAGCGCAGGTCCTGCAGCCGACAGGAAGATGACCGTCAAAATAAAAGCCTCAAATTAAAATTAAACCTTTACAGTCTTATTTTGAAATTTGCTGAGTGGACCTGCAGCCAGCCCGGTTCTGCTGGACTTTAAGAGACATTAAAATGGTTTTGGACCTGAACCTCCTGGGTCCGAGCCCGGAGCGCCTCCTGCAGCTGGTCCATGAGGACGTCCCTCTCCCTGAGGATCCGGGTCTGCCGGTCCTCTCCGTCCTGCTGCTGTCTCTGGACGGTCCTCCAGGCCTCAGAGACCCGGTCCAGTTCCAGAACCTTCCCCCTCAGCAGCGCCTCCAGACTCTGGGACACAAAGAGACAGTTAGTCCTCCTGAGGACACAGTGAGACAGTCTGAGGCGGGACACGTGTCCAGCAGGAGACATGATGCTGGACATACAGAGATGGTCTCCTCGTTGTTGGACAGGACGCAGCGCTGACGGTCCAGATCCAGGTCCTTCTCCCGGATCAGCAGCTGAAGACTACGGCAGTCCTCGTCCTTCTGCTCCTCGGATCGGATCTTCTCGTCCAGGGCTCGCTGCAGGTTGGACAGAGACAGGATCAGAGACAGGATCAGAGACAGAGACAGGGTCAGGATCAGAGACAGAGACAGGATCAGGGACAGAGACAGGGTCAGAGACAGGATCAGAGACAGGATCAGAGACAGGATCAGAGACAGAGACAGGGTCAGGATCAGAGACAGGATCAGGATCAGAGACAGGATCAGGGACAGAGACAGGGTCAGGATCAGAGACAGGATCAGGATCAGAGACAGGATCAGAGACAGGGACAGAAGGTTCTGTCTGAGGGACGTGGTTCTCCTGGTCCACCTGCAGGGCCTGGCCTCTGTCTCTGAGCCGCTGACGAAGCTTGAGGACCTGAGTGCCTCTGGTCTGGTCTGGGTCCTGGACCAGCTGGTTGTAGTCCTGTGGGACATCAGAACCAGTCCATCAGACTTTTATTTTGAAAAACCRATTTAGTTTGAAGGATCAGGGTTGTGGACCTCCAGAAGCTGGTCTTTGGTCTTTAGGGATGTCCTCAGGTCTCTGATGGTCCTCCTGGTCTCTTCCTGGTCCCTGAGTCTCTCCTGATGCTCCTYCTGGTCCTGCAGACCGGACCGGACCTCCTGCAGGACGACCTGCAGCTCCTGCAGAACCCACATACATAGACTGAGACTGGACCTGGAGCAGAACTGGACCAGGACCAGGACCAGGACCACCCACCTGGTTGTGTGTCTCTGTGTCCCTCCTGTGCTGCAGGCTCTCCTGCAGGTCTGTCTCCAGCCTCTGCAGGGCCCGGTTCTGGTCCTCCATGGCCTGCTGCAGCTCAGAGACCTGCACACAGAACCACACGGGTTTGGACCTGGTCCTGGTCCCTCCAGGTCCCTCCCGGTCCCGCTAGTCTTACCTGGCTCTCCTTGGCACTGAGGGTGGCGCTGAGGTTCTGGATGAGCCGGTCCTGCTGCTGGGCCTGGTCCCGGGCCGAGCCCAGCTCCATGTCCCAGAGACACTGCTGCAGGTCCTGCAGGACAGCACACAAGCTGAAGGTTCTGGTTCTGGTTCTGCTGGGCTCTGCTGGGACTCAAACCTGGGTTCTGGTCTCACTCTCTCTGATCTTGGCCTGCAGAGACCCGGCCCGGTTCTGGGCCTTCTGCAGCTCCCCGACACACTGATCCGCAGTGCTGTGGTACTGACCCAGTTGCTGGTCCATCAGGACCTGCTGGTCCACTGGGACCTGCTGGTCCACCAGAGAACTGTGAGTCCAAACAGAACAGAACCGAGCCGCTGCAGGTTCTGATCCAACATCTTCTTCTTCTCTAGGTTTGTTTAGCTTTAGATTACTTCGGCTACTTTAACGGCTCAAAGTTCGGC